GTTGTGACATTTGATAGCACACAAGGTATTCCTAATGTATCTGGGAGTTGCATGATCTCATCGTCGAAGGAATATGTATTTGACATTAAGAAAGCAATTGCAATAAACTGACCGATCATTTGCTAAGCTAACGAATGGGTCTTGTCCATTACATCATTCTCTTTGACACTTAAACATTGCTTGCAATGTGGCGATTCGCCAGTACACCCATACACCGAATAAATCCATGTAGGGCCTTCCACGCATGAACTTTTATCTTGGCCCGAACATGAGCACTACAAAGCTTCGTCGAAATTGGATGCCATTGTGATGGTTCTCCTTCAGAACGTCGGTACCAACGTCCGAACTGATGCTCCAGTTTGACGTGCTACGCCAACCTCAGCGTGAACAAATGATGCTTAGTAAATCTCTAGGCAACAAAGTCCTCAATCGTGCCATGAGGTGCTAATGGGACTGCACTACCCAAAAGAGATCATCGACTAACTGTTGATCCCATAGCCCTGTCCCTAGTTCAACAAGTTTAGATACCTTCGAAAGCAAAGTTCCCCCTCTAGATTACACATCCTACAATGATCGCCGAGATCCATGGATCGGTCCAAATATTTACCTGAGTACCAACCCCAATATGCCATATTGCACCTCTCTTAAAGGTCTGGATTCCAGCACAGATACTTTGCCAAGTATATGAACTGCCATTCTTCATTTGGGCTTCCAAAAGCCTCACATACGGATAGTAATTGGCCCACAAAAGTTTTGCACATAATGAATCAAGGTTCTCCAGGAGGTGCCATACTTGCTTAGCCAACATTGCTAAATTAAAGCTATGTAAATCTCTGAATCCAAGTCCTACTCTCTCCTTCGGAACACATAATTTCCACCAAGCCGCCCAATGCATACTCTTGTGGTTGTCATCATCACCCCACTAGTACTTAGATATTGCATCTTTCATCCCTTCAAAATTCTTTTTGTGATTTTGAATATCGACATTGCAAACACCGGAATGGCTTGAACAACTGATTTGATCAATCACTAGTAGAAAACAGGGCTATGGTCCAGGCCGGCTCAGCCCATTAGTCCCGGTTCAGTCTAGAACCGGGACTAATGTGAGCATTGGTCCCGGTTCGTGCGGCTAAGGCATTAGTCCCGGTTCACTCGGGCCCTTTAGTCCCGGTTTAAGACATGAACCGGGACTAAAGGGTGCGATGACTTTTAGTCCCGGTTCGTGCCTCAAACCAGGACTAAAGATTAGACCTTTAGTCCCGGTTTGAGGCACGAACCGGGACTAATGGGGTTGAGACCTTTAGTCCCAGTTCGTGCCACGAACCGGTACTAAAGATCCCATTTTCAAACTCTACCC